AGAAATTTCTACTACCCTGTATATAAATATCTTCAAAAATAATAGCTTATTATTCACATACCTATTCAGATCATTTTAATAAGTTATAAGGGAATTATTCCTGTGGAAATTAACAGGATATTTTCCTTTGATTAAATTTTACTTCATCAAGTATATAAAGCACTCTGATCACAAAAATGCCTAATAGTCAAAAATTGTCACTGGCTTTTAATATGTTAAGAGTTTTATTCTATTTTCCTTTCTTTGGCTTGATTTGTACATAGTATACACCTTCTTTTGATTGTGTGTTATATTTTATATTCTCAAACAGCAGTAAAGTATGTTCAGTCATTTTCTTTTGGACCTTGAGAATGAGCTCTGCCCAAATGGCAGCCAGCCCTGGCTTTCTCATTAGCCAAAATTATATCTCCATTTTCCATTACCTCATTTATATCCCTTTCTACCCTTTTTTAATATGTATATTTAAAATTTCTCTAATATTCTTTATTGGTGTGTTTCCTGAAGTTTACTCTAAGCTAAAGATTTATGCTCTAAAAGAGCTGAGGTTGGGATTGTATTGATATTCCCATAGTCATAGTTTGTTCTTTAAGAGCCTATGTCTTTTTTTAAAAACAAGAGTAACAGTTATACATACCTACATGTTAATCATAACCGTATTTTCTCTGTTTCAATAGCTTTGCTAATGGTGTTTCTAACTGTTGATATTCTGTAGCTTGTTTTATAGTTTTTAAACAAACTTTAACAGAAAAATAATAATTTTAGTAACTGAAATTTATTCACATAATCCTATACATTTGATGTTGCATACTTTGTTAACTATCTAATACCTAACAACAATTTTATGAAGTAGATGATATTAGATTAGTACTGATGTTTTACACGTGAAGAAATCGTGGTAGGGGGTTTCATTGCCTGACTATAAAGATATACATTATAACTGTCTTGTATTTCTAGTTCAAAGAAAACATGGATTACATTATAATTTTGGGACTGTGTATAGGTTAAAATTTTGAGTTCATTTATCCGTTTTTTTCTGTTATTATCTGTAGAAATACAATTTGGGAACAGCTACCCCCCCTTCTCAATAATATTGAAAAGCAAACTTATTTTTAGATGACCTTTTAGGGGCAAAGGTGGGAGTCATTTTCCTACTTGGTTATGACCATGGACACTAAAATAAAAGACTAAAAATTTGCTAGGGTATAGTAATCTTTAGCTTACTATTAAGATTAATTTAAATATATAGAAATCATATTTCATCAGTACAAATTTATGAGTAATTTAAAACATTCTCATGATTGCAGAAGTTTGTACAGGCTTGTTACTTTATTATCAACAGGAATCCTAAGAAATATAACACTAGAATTAGCATGCTCATGTCATGACTCAGAATTAAGTGAACAACAGACTAAAAATGTATCTTCATACTCTGCTTGGCTTAGAGCCTGAGGATAAACCAGTTTGTACCTAGTAAATTTCAAGGTGGTGTCTAATTTTTGACATTACCTTAAGAGAGACCAAATGAGGACCAGCAGATGGCATAATGGTTACATCTTTGGACTCCTACATAGTCGATCACTGTTCGAGTCCCAGACCTGTCAACTTAAAACTCAGACCAGGCACGTATGTATGCATACCAAAGATCCCAAGAGGAGAATGGAGGAGAAGGGATTGTGGGGTGACCATCTCCACAGGGGGTGATTTTTCTCCTTCTGTCTCTCTGTCTCTGTAGCAAGCGCACATGCCCTATAGCAAAAATCTCTCTTTAAAAAAAGAGAGAGACCAAGTGTCCTAGAAATTGATGGCCTTTCAGTGCATACAAAATAGAGTCTAAATCTTTTGTAGGGTAAATTTAATAAATTTATTTATTTTTTCTTTTTTTGGAGAGGTTTTTGCTATAGGGTGCGTGCGCTCACCAGAAAGAGAGAGAGAGAGAAAGTGAGAAATCAACTCCCAGGGGGCATGGCCACGCCACAATCTCTTCTCCTCTATTCTCCTCTCGGGATCTTGAGCATGCACACACACATGCCTGGCGTGATTTTAAGCCACTGGGTCCTGGACTTGAACCATGGTCGACTACATGGAGGTCTAGCGACATAGCCATTATGCTAACTGTTGATCCAGTAAATTTTATTTTATTATTAACAGTAATATAGAGAATCTTTTAAGCCAGCTAGTGGTATGGTGGTGAGGCCAGCTGGACCCTTTGTAGCTGACTGCAGTTAGGGTGCCAGGCCTGACAGCTTGAAAAACACACTGGTACGTGTGCATGTGTGTCCAAAATCCTGAAAGGGGAGGTAAAGGAGAGGGGATTGCAGTGTGACATCCCCCATGGAGGCTGCTTTTTTCACGTTCCTTGTCTTGCTTTCTGTCTCTCTGGCAAGTTCATGGACCTTCTAGGAAATGGGGGGGTGGGGGGTTAAATCTTACTTTAAGCCTGCTCTAAGGCAGTTATACCTCAATTTTGCTGAAGGTAAGATGGCCACATCTTTGTACCTACATAACCTACACAGTAACTACAACTGACTTAACCTATTCTCTTTAGGGTGAAATTGCTACTGTGACTATCCTTGCCTTGACCTTTTTTTTTTTTTTTTTTAAGAGAGGTTTTTGTTATAGGGCGTGTGCACTCGCCAGACAGACAGAGATACAGAAAGCGAGAAATCACTCCGCGGGGAGATGGCCACGCCGCAACCCCTTCTTCTCCGTTCTCTTCTCGGGATCTTGGGCACGCACGCACTCGCACCCAGCGTGAATTTCAAGCCACTGTGTCCGGGACGCGAACCGCAGTCGACTACATGGGAGTCCAGTGACATAGCCATTACACTAATTGCTGGTCCCTTGACTTTTCATCTTTTTATGTTCTAGCATCTTTAACAGCTGGCACAGCTATATTAGGTTTCCAAGTGGAAATCATGAATCAGTGTGATTTGTGCCTGGAAGCTTGGATGCTGCTTATTTTAACACATTTATTGGTCACCAGCTCTATGCAAGGTGTCATGATTGGTATTGCGGAAAGTACACAGATAAGTAGTAACAATATGATAGCTGGAATTTACTGATATTTGTAAATGTCAGGCATCATTCTGAATGTTTTATATATATTGCCTTATCTGATCTTCACCGTAACTATGCAAGCTAAGTGCTGTTATCCCCATTTTATAGAAAAGAAAACTGAGTTATTGTGAGTATGTTGCCTCTAGTACTAACACAGCTAGCAAGTGGTAGATCTGGGCCGCAAACACAAGCACTTGTGACTGTAGCGCTTACACTAACCATGATACGGTACTGCCTCTTATTCTCCTCTCAAGAAACTTAGTTGCCTGGGCTATCCTTCTTCTTTTTTTTTTTTTTTTAAGAGGCTTTTGCCTTAGGGTGTGTGTGCTCCCTGGGGGTGGAGGCAGGGAGAAGAGAAGAAAGAGACAGTAGACAGTGAGAAGGAAAGTGAGAAATCACTCCCCAGGGTGGATGACCATGCTTCAACCCTTCTCCTCCATTCTCTTCCCAGATCTTGGGCACGCACTCATATATGTCCAGTGTCCACCAGGTCCAGTACTCAAACCGCTGTCAGCCTTGTGGGAGTTCAGTGATGTAACCGCTACGCCATCTGCTGGCCCTGCCCAGGTTATTCTTAAACGCCCTAGGAACTGCAGAGCTATAGCAGCTCTATGAACGTAAATGGGCCCGTTAACTAAAGCAGTTTAACATTCAACCCAGTTTTCTAGTTTGTATGTTGACTTTCACATTATTCTAGTTTTAATAATATTCTGTGAAAGTTCTCTAAGACTTGCCCTTGATCGGGTTTGGTTATTTAAGTGAAATGCTGTAGTTCAGACAATAAATGATCTGGATGCATTAATTAGTAAAGCTTTTTTCAGTTAAGATTTAGTATAACAATAAGATACCTAATCTCTCCCAGAAATCTTACAGCAGAATGTTTGTTGTTTTGTTATTGTTGTTCTGGGAATAGTGGAGATGAGCTTCAAAACCATTCTAAGATGACCACAGGTAAAATAAAGAATAGTGCCACTGTAAGATTTGGACGTTCTCTTCTTTTCACCAGAAGTTTTATTTTGAGATGTGTCAGATGAACATCACTGGTCATATTAATGGACTTGACTTGTTCAGGTGCTTGTTTTCAGATCAAGCCATTCTTCTGGACAATTGGCCTCACACATTTTAGTTCTATTTAGTTATATTTTCTTTTTTGCTTGATTGATCAAAAGTCTCATGAGCTTTCTTTAAAATGTTAGCCTCACAAATCAATTAAGGAAAGATCTACTCTAAGCAGTGAATTTATTTCTGGAAGGAAGTTGTTCCAGATGGTCACTAATGAAACTGTTGATTTTAGAGATGAGTTCAAGACGGTGTGAGGCTAAGCATTAGTCACACACACTGTGGAATGGAATTTGCAGTTTGGACTAGCCAAGGCCCTGTTGATTCTGCAGTGAAGCTGTTGAATCCTCCATGGAGGGAAAGACCATCTGACAGTCCCTTAAAGTTGGTTTAGTCCCACCTGCAAGTATACAGCACTGCTCGTGAAGCTGTGTAAGCTTTCTGACTTGACAGGTTTTTTTAAAAATAAGAATATAGTAAGTATAGAAAATAAAGCATTAATAAATAACACTTGTAATTATAATTCTGATCTGTAAAAGCATTGGCATAGTAAATATTCTGCATTTTTGTAATTTCAATATTTTGCCAATTTTATAACTACATAAAATATATCTCAGGAGATTTTGGTGTTCAGCATTTGCATGAAGGTAATAATGAGAAATTCCACTGGTATTTGTTTTTCTAAATTGACCATTTAAATAATTCATGCATTACTTGTTCATTTTCTGTTTTTAAAATGGTATGTATTTTAATACTGTGAGTCATTTCTTTTTAGAAAATCAACCTAGAATAATGTTAAAAATTCATATTTAATCATTACATAATGGAATGCACAAATTCAATTTGAAATAACCTTTATTCATTAGAAAACATATTTTCTGTTGGCAAAACTAGAGGTTCTCTCTAATTTCCTGTCTTTATTTTTATAAATAAAATGCATTATTTGGCTGAAATATTAAAATTCTTTTTTCATTGGAAGTTAGAACAGTCTCATAGTTTTTAAATAAATTGTTACATATCTTGAACATGTATTCAGTCTTGATTTAAAATAAAGCAAGTATTTGTTTTACATTGTGGCCATTATTCACATTTTAGAAAACACTTTGTAATTCATCAATATAATTTTTAAAATAACTAGGATATGAATACAAATAATCTCCTGCAGTATAGTGAAGGAACATGAAACTTCATAAGCCTCCTTTTTTTAGTTACAGCAAAATTGATTTTTAAAACTGTATCTATAGAAATAGATTGTGCACTTTTTTTTTTAATACATGTAACATTTACGTTTTTAGGAACTGAAAAACAGAGAATCTATGTCCTTTAAATTGGAAATGATCTCTCCTCAGTCAATGGGCTTGATCATCATCTGAACTGCTCTTAAGGAGTAGGACCCGCCTCTGTATTCAGCCCAGAAAATCCCATCCTGGTGCTTGCTCCTGTAGTGGCCCCCTCTGTACCACACTCCGTTAAGGTTGGAATGTGCACAGGCGTTGTACCACCAGCCTCCTTTATGAAAGTGGGCGCAGTTTCCTTTGAGGGAAAAACACAGATATCAAAGTGAGCATTTCTTCTAAACATGGTACTCTGCAAACCATTAAAAATTTAGTCTACCTTTGGAACAATTTAATTTGAACTTTCTTTACTCATTTCAGTTACCTTTATCCGAGTAGTTTTGTTTTTATGACATTTATTCTATTGTTCTTGCATCAACTAGTTGAAAGATCTCTTGAGTTTCTTTCTTTTTTTTAATCTTGTTCTTTACCTGCTTAATACATGCTTTTTTCAAAAGATTTTATTTTTTAGGTAGCATAGTAAATAAAATACAAACACTGTATATGTGAGAGATACAAAAGAAAAGATTTAGGAAGAAAGATTATAGAGTGGCTAAAGAAGAGGGTAAAATGGGGGGGGATTGAATTCTCAAAATAAGATAGCAACAGATAGTATGAAACAGCACTAGCAGCAAACAAATGGGTTTCTTCAAATAAGGCATAAATTATGGTCTTGATCTCTCTTTTCACCTTCTTTTGCCAGTGTGAAATAAATTAAAATAGAGACCTGTGTGCTGCTGACCAAGATACAACTGAGGAGAAAAATCAGTCATTTTGCATAATCTCCTTGTTAGGGTTCAGAACATTCACTTCTCCTCTTCTGCGGTTCTGATACCACATGGCACAGTTATCTGGCTGTTTCTCTAAGAAACATTCTTACACTGTAATCCAAACAGGTTGCCCCCTCCTTACAGGTCTTTATCAAAATTCGACCTTCTCCCAATACCCTTTCCTGGCTGGCCCATATAAACCTCACCCAGCCCAGACTTTGCTGCCACATCCTTTGCCATTCCCTTACTGGGTGTTATTTTTTTTCCCTTATTTGGTTTTACTATTCTTACTGCTACCTAGCGAATTCATTTTCTCCCCCTTCATAGAGAGTAAGCTCCAAAGGGCAGGAACTCTCTTCAGGGCTGTATCCCTGGCACCCACAACGGTGTCTGGTCCCTGGTAGGTCCCAGTGTGTGTTACAAATTCTAGGCAGTCCAGTGCTATTCCCAAAGAACTGTCTGTGTTCTCCTTATCCCCCAGAACTTAGTTTGTCACAGAGATCACGCTGTTGGATTCCCTTATAGAAGAGATCCTAACAGGTCTTTTAATAGGTTATATTTCATTTGTGTCCAAAGTGACCTTTCTGGACAGATTGTAGTAGTGCAGACTTTAACACCAAGATTCTTTATAATGCATAGAAGGTATTGGTTCTGTGAAGTATGAAAGTTTTTTCTTACTCACCTGCATACGTATCTTTATCTCTGTCCAGTGTGGTGAATTGTTTACCGTTATGCCACATCAGAGAATCCCCTGCATTTCCCTGGTAAGTTCCCAGGCGCAGTCTATAGAATTCACTTTCAGGTTCCAGCCGAAAGCTGCTATATTCTGCGTAGACTTTTTTATCACTCCAGTCTTCTAATTCAATCAGCAGTTTGTAATTATCTTGATTGCTAAGCATATAGATATTTTCCAGTCCAAGCCAATATTCTCCATCAATGTTTCCAAATCCTTTCTGTAAATAAACAAAGAAACATGAGTGTGTAAGTAAGTATAGGGACAGTGAGTATTTTTATAGATCAGTTTTAAACGTGCAGTAGCATAAAGATAGTGACCGTGTAAGTGGTAATGTGTACTTTCCGTTTTAATCGGTCTCCTGATTTCTATAAGTTCCACACTGTCACTTTGTTTTATTTTGCTTTCTATTAATATTTCAGTATTTATTTGTATAGCTAGTCTCAAGCCCTACAAATAAGACAAAAGAAAAGAGAAAAATCTATTAATAGCTACTGAAAACACTAGTGAGCTATTCAAGTAGTGAGCACATGTGTGCATGCGTGCCCAAAAATCCCAACAGGAGAATGGAGGAGAAGGAATTACAGCATGGTCATCCCTTCGTGGGGGTGATTGCTTGCTTCTGTCTCTCTCTTACTCTCTGTCTCTCTGACAAGCACACCTGCCCTGTAACAAAATCTCTTTCTAAAAAAAAGATATTTTAGAACAGGTTATCGTCTTTACTTCTATTATAAGTAAAATTGGTTAAGATAAAGTATTCATCTTCAAATTTTCCACTTTGAAAAATTGTAAATGAATATTTGAAAAAAAAAAGAATGAACTCTGTTGTCAGTAAGCTTTCGATGTTGCTGATGTATAGCAAAATAATTTTGGTAAAGCTGGTATTAATACTCTAAATGTATCTTTAAGAAGGTTTTGTTGGAGAATTTTCCTCTCATTTATGCTAATTATTTGTTTAGAAATGTATACAACTTCTGACATGGATATAATGTCTCACTTTAACTACCTTTAAAATTTTACGTAAGTGGGGAACCAGCAGTTAGCGTAAGTAATGGCTATGTCGCTGGACTCCCACGTAGTCGACCGCGGTTTGCGTCCCGGACCCGGTGGCTTAAAACTCACGCAGGGCGTGTGTGCGTGTGTGCCCAAGATCCTGAGAGGAGAATGGAGGAGAAGGGATTGCGGTGTGACCATCCCCCCTGGGGGGTGATTTCTCGCTTTCTGTCTCTATGTCTCTCTCTGGCGAGCGCACGTGCCCTATAGCAAAAACCTCTCAAAAAAAAAAAAAAAATTTTACCTAAGTGACTAATTCATAGTGTCCAGCTGGGAATTAGCCATCTAAGAAAATAAAACCTTTCCTATCTGCTATCTTTAAACTAAGGATATATATATATATGAGGGGTACTCAAAAAGTTCTTGGAAAATGTGTATTATGGAAAACCTATACATGGGTTTCAAAAAAATTTCAGTGCCAAATAAACTTGTATTTTAATTCCATTTTCTATGACTTTTTTATATCCCCTCACATATACCACCCATAAAATTAGCATTCTGAACAGCATATTTGTTAACAAAGGTCAGCTGTTTATCTTTCCAGAATTGGTATCACATGATTCTGGTTCCTTTGATCTACTGGCTCGAAGGGGAAGTGGCACTGCCATAGCTCTCCACAGTGCCCAGTTCAGTGGGTTCCAGAAGTTTATTTGAGTAGAACACATCAGTCCCTTGAGATACTCAAAGTAGGGTGCCACAGTTAGGTAAGCTTTAGAAATGGTACATGCTATGTGTCCCTTTTGGATGCTCACAGTGTCCATCTAGGTGTCTGCCCTGCCCCAGCCACACCGGTGTCCGGAGACATAAACCCAAACCACTGTGGTAGGGGTATCAGAGGCGTTTGGTCAAAGAAAGGGGCTGCTGCTTTTTTGTGCGTGTGTTTTGTGGTTTTTTTTTTTTTTTTTTTGAAGTCCCATACTTTCCGTTATTAGATATATTTAATGATACAAATGTGGTCATAAACAAAAGCAGTTGTCTTAGAAAATGGAATTATTACTCCTAATTTTAGCAAAAAGTATGTGTCATTCAGACAAATGGTCATTTTAAAATGTATCATCACTTTCCTTTTGATTTTTTTAATAATTTTTTATTTTTCTTTATTTGCATGCTTACAAATGCAACATTAGCACATTTTAATATACAAACATTAAGTCTTTTTTTTTATTTTTAATTATTATCATAATCTTGTTTATATTATATTGAATCACATATAACTTTACAGTGTATTACATTTCTTTTCCCAGAAGGATTTGAGTTCAAAACTGGAAGTGAGAGTCGCCTTTTTAACAGATGTAGATAATGAAGAATGTATGGCTGGTTATTAACTGTGTGTCTTGTGCGTTACTCGGACTGGCTGCTATTGCAAGAGCTGCTCCCCCCGCCCCCCGCAGGTCTGAATCACTGATTTATTTACCTTATAATTTTCCCAGTTTCTGAAGAAATTGACAGAGCCGTCTATTCTTTTCTGAATAACAGTCCAACCCCCAGGATCCAAACTGTTCTCACACCATAACTGCATTGGTCCATTGCTGTGTTCAGGCTTAATCATGTAAATTCCACTGACTGAATGTCCAGCTTCTTTTGCTTGCTGACAGTCTTTGAATGGTCCTGTAATTTAAATATCACTGATTACCATGAGACTTAATATGAAAACCAACGTATTAGAATAGTTTTAAATCAAAAGCTTTACTTTTGTGCCTTTGTTTACAAACACTTTTTATCTACTGTATATACGATACTATAAAAATTTAGAAAAAAGAGAAAAGGGGGACCAGTAGATGGTGTAATGGTTATGTCTCTGGACTCCTCCCGCATAGTCAACCGCTGTTCGACTCTCGGACCCAGTGGCTTAGAACTCACGCCGGGTGCTTGTGCATGTGTGTGTGTGCCCAAAATCCGAAGAAGAGAAGGGACTGCAACATGGTCATCCCCCTGGGAGGTGATTTCTCACTTTCTGTCTCTGTCTCTCTTTCTGTCTCTCTGGTGAACGCATGCATCTTATAGAAAAAAGAAAAAAGGTGTTACTCCAACCCCACTTCCCAGAACATTAACTTGTTCCTCTTTTCACCATTTATATTTTTGCCCATGTACATAGGTTTTAATAATTATCCTGATACACATATGAAATTGGATTCTTGTTATTTTAACAGTCATTTTCATGGAGCTAGAGTTTCTTCTGGCACTCACTGTGTACTAGTCCTTGACACTGGTATATCAGTGTTTATTCCTCTATCAGTGGACATTGAGATTTTTATTTTTTAATTTTTTTAATGTATAATTGGTGTTTTATTTTTTCCCAGAGGACAGACAGTTCTTCAGTCCGTAAAGACTTGGCTTCTTATATGGGCTGTGGTGGAGGGCGAGGGGCAGCACCCAAGGTCTAAATCCAGGTAGGGGTGTTAGGTCCTTCCAAGCTTCAGGAGATCGGTTCCTGACTACCTTGCTCTGAATGGCACAACTCACACAGCAATGCATCTTCACATACAGCTTGGGGAGCACACAGGCATCCAAGACACTTGCTTTGGAGATGTCCCTGACGGCTGCGGACTCTGCTGTTTTAGACGAGGAACTTAATAGCCTTGTCCTCGGGCACGCGTCGGGCGCAGTTCGTGCAGCGAATACACTGCACATGGCCGCGGCCCTTTTTGGCACAGCCGATGTTCCTTCTTGTCTTCATCATCTCGGAAGCGAGGTCACGAGAGACATTTGAGATTTTTGTCCAACTTTTAGTGTAATAAATAACACTGCACAAAAGTGTCTTCATTCTCACTGGCTTCATTTTTTTCTGTTCTATAATTACAAATTATTTCTATATTAGCTATTTTACTGCCTTCTCTTTATAATTTAAAGAATATTGCTTAGTAGTAATTATTAAAAAGCTAATAGGAAATTACCAGTTTTGTACCTGAGAGGTCAGATTTAATGTGCTGATTTGCTTATTATCAGAAATAAATTAATTGACATGCCTCAGGAATCTGTTTATGATGGCACGAAGGATATAGACTAGAAGTACCTTTCTTCTAAAATGAGAATTTTAGTACCTTTGTTCTTGCATTTGAAATCTTTTTAAATACTCTTATATTCTGTGACACACTTTTGGATTCTTTTTAAAGCAAGAAACTTTTTTAAAGCAAGAAATAGTGTACATTGCATTTGAAGTAGTTTATCTCTTCTCTGTGTTATGTGATGTGTAGTGTTTATACAGGGCTAGCAGACTTTAATTAATAGCTCTTATTATGGTTTAGATAATGGTTTCTCCCCCAGAGGTTCATGTTTTGGAATTGTGTTCCCAGAGCAGTGGCATTAGGACCGCATGAGACCTTTACGAGGTGAGGCTTGTCAGCAGTGTTGGGAATGTGAAGGCATCACCCTCAAGAATGGATTAGTGCTGTCTCATGAGATGGAGTAGGTCCTAGCCCTTGTTAGAAGGGGTTGGTTGCTGTGAGAGTGAGGTGTTGTAAAAGGAAAGTGGCTGTTTCCAGGTCTCTCTCTCTGCGTATGTTTGCCCTCCTTTGCTCTGTTGGCCATGTGACATGGCATCCAGCCTGAAACCAGCCCCACACCTTTGGACTTTCCAACCACCAGAACTGGAAGCCAGAGAAACCGGTAGTCTTTTTTTTTTTTTGGAGAGGTTTTTTCGCTATAGGGCGCGTGCGCTCGCCAGACAGACAGAGAGAGACATAGAGACAGAAAGCGAGAAATCACCCCCCAGGGGGGATGGTCACGCCGCAATCCCTTCTCCTCCATTCTCCTCTCGGGATCTTGGGCACGTACGCACACGCGCCCGGCGTGAGTTTTAAGCCACCGGGTCCGGGACGTGAACCGCGGTCGACTACGTGGGAGTCCAGCGACATAGCCATTACGCTAACTGCTGGTTCCCGAAACCGGTAGTCTTTAAAAAGCACCCATTCTCAGGTATTTCTGTTACCAGCACAATAGCAGACTAAGATCTGATTCATAGAAAAAAATTGACCAGTAATACCACATTATTTTCCAAGAGGTATTTTTCATTTTATAACCCATATTTTGAGAAAGGATTTTATACTTTGAATAGCAGATTTACTGGGAGCCATCTTTAGCTACACCTGTTCTTTTTCTAAAAAGGGAACTTTTTAGTTACGTAAATTACAAGACAGTTCTCTCTGTGATAGGAGAAACAAAAGAGGGAACCAATTTAGAGTTCTCAGTGTCTTGTTAATACAGTCACATTTCAATAGTCCCTTTGCTTAACTAGTCTTGTTAGTTTAGATTGTTTTAAATGTTAAAATAATTGTACCTTGAGACCACCAGTTAGTGTAATGGCTATGTCGCTGGACTCCCACGTAGTCGACAGCAGTTCGAGTCCCGGACCCGGCTTAAAACTCAACGCCGGGCACGTGTGCGTGCATGCCCAAGATCCCGAGAGGAGAATGGAGGAGAAGGGATTGCGGTGTGGCCATCCCCCCTGGGGGGTGATTTCTCGATTTCTGTCTCTCTGTCTCTCCCTGTCTGTCTGGCGAGCACACGCGCCCTATAGCAAAAACCTCTCCAAAAGAAAAAAATAATAATAATTGTACCTTTAAAAAAAGTTTTAATAGAAAACGTTATAACTCATTTCAAAAAGGTAAATATTGGGTGATTTAAAATAAGCCTACCACTAAAACGCCCATTTTTACTTTCTTTTTTTTAAATTATTTATTTAACTTTATTCATTCATTCACTAATTTTTAATTTGACTAGACACACACACACGCACACACACACACACACACCAACACACACACACAGAGAGAGAGAAGGTGAGAAAGCAAGCCACCAGGTCCAGGATTTGAACTGTGATCAACCAGGTGGGAGCATCCAGTGCCTTAACCACCATGTCATCCAAGCACATTTTTACTTTCTAATGATAGCTTTTCAAATTTAACTTTTTTAGCTTACCTTTTATGCCCCCATATATCTAATGTAACAAGACAAATCACATAAAGGAAAAAGTACATACACTAAAAAAAAAAAAAAAAAACCATAATAATTAGTGATGGTCAGATGATATGCAAAGCGTTTTACATGCATCACCTCATCCAGTCCTCACAGCAGTCTCTTTCAAAAGAGGCTCCTAGGAGAGGAGCCGAGGAAAAGCCTTGCCAGGGTCCAGGTTTCCTGATACTCAGATCTGTGCTCTCACACACCGATAGAACTTCGCAACTCCACTCACCTACAAGGAATGAACTTGTTTTTATATGTACACTCTTTGAAAAAAGTAAAAATTTTGGTGTATCTATTTTGAGACACTTTGTTTTTAAGGTAGAGAGAAGGTAATGTTTTCAAAAAAAATTTTTTAACTAAAAAATTACTTCATTTTCTATAAATGTTTGTTTCATTTTTCAATGCATTTTCCTTATAGCCATTTTAAAAGAAAACGTAAGCTTTCCTGTCATGGGACCAGCGGATGATGTAGTGGTTACGTTGCTGGACTCCCACATAATCAGCTGCGTTTTGAGTCTCGAGCCCAGTGCCTTGAAACTCAAACGGAGCACATGTGCATGCATGTCCAAGATCCTGCAAGGATAATGGAGGAGAAGGGATTGTGGTGTGGCCATCCCCCCAGGGAGTAATTTTTCACTTTCTTTCTCTCTCTCTCTGTCTCTCCAGAGGTGCCCTATTGAAAAAAAAAAAAAAAAAAAAATCTCTCTTAAAAAAAAGAAAGAAAAGAAGTGTCATTATAACTTCTTTTTAAAAATTATGGTAGACATATACAACATAAAATTTCCTATCTTAACCTTTTAAAAATTTATTTATACAATTTATTACTATAGAGCACTCCTGTTCACTAAAGAGAGAGAGAGAGAGAATTTCTCCATTCTCCATTCATGATTCTGGGCATGCACGTACACACACCTAGCACGATTTCCAACCTACTGGGTCCAGAACTCAAACCGCAACGTCAACCGGTGGGATCCGGCTTCCTTAACCTCCACGCCAGCTGCTGGCCCTATCTTAACTATTTTTAAATGTGCTGTTCCTTAACATGAAGTAAATTCCCAGTGTTGTGCAGCAGTCACTGCCATGTATCTCCAGAACTCTCTTCATCTTGCAGAACTGGAACTATAACCATTAGATTCCCCATTCACATCTCTCAAACTACTGGAAAGCACCATTCTGTTCTTTGTCTTTATGACTTTGACTATTCTAAGTACCTTAAGTGAATAGAATCATATTGGTTGTCTTTTTGCAACTGATTGAACACCTTTTAAAATAATAGAGGTTGGGGGACCAACAGCGTAATGGCTGTGTCACTGGACTCCCACGTAGTCGACCGTGGTTCAAGTCCCGCACCCCGTGGCCTAAAATCACGCCAGGCACGTGTGCGTGTGTGCCCAGGATCCCAAGAGGAGAACGGAGAAGGGATTGTGGCATGACCACCCCCCCTGGGGGGTGATTTCTCGCTTTCTGTCTCTCTGTCGCTCTCTGTCTGGCGAGTGCACGCTCCCTATAGCAAAAACCTCTCCAAAAAAAGGAAGAAAAAAAATAACAGAGGTTGGCGTATTCTTTTTACAGTACTCATTTAGAGACTTTTGACTGGCTATGTTGCTTCATATAGAATACAGTAAGGTTAACTTCTTGGTGCCTGA